ATTAGATTTGTGATTAATTGAACTATAAATGTTTTGATTAAAGATAATACAAGATTTGTATGTGCATAAATTGAATACGTAATCAATAATGACATATTTAGCTTTTTCATGTGTTGTCTTCGCTATTTTTTTTGTAATTTATATTTAAAAAAATACACATTGATGCTAAATTTATGTATACAGCGATATAATGATATATTTTATCAATAATTCATAGTAAAAATTGATCATATAGAATTGTGCACATCAATACTTGATTTTGATATTAAAATTTTAAACACTGAAAATCAATAAAAATGAGGTTTTTGACATTTTATGTTACATTGTTGCCTTCAAAACAGTTTATCATTTTTTGTTTTCTATCCGATTTACGCAAAAAAGTTCCATAGACAGTCATAAAAAACATTCATGTACTATGTTAATGAAAATTTATGTTATAATTTGTAATAAACTGGATTTTAATGTTCAATATATGTAATCAAGATAAATTTATTACAAGAATTTGTGTTATGATTTCAAACTTGATACATATTCATGAGGCTAGAACTAAAAGTGATCAATTTAGTGATATTTCATGTATTTTAAAGTTAATCTTATTATAGAAAAAATTTCAATTTGAAATCTCACCCGTTATGAAACTTGCATGAAAACTAGTACAAAACTGAGAAGATTATTTTAATTTCAAATTTATTAGTTAGAAAAGGAATGAATATGATAGGAGTTTTTTTTTTAAAGCAAAAAAAAACTAAAATTTTGTTATTTTTTTGAATACATTATTTAAAAAAAATTATTAAAATGAGGTTTTTTAATCAAAAGTTGAAACTTCTTTTATTTTTTAATAAATGAATTTATTTTTAGATTAGAATTTATGATTTTTATCTTGAAAGTTTATACAAAAAATGACATAACACATTTGATCTTCGTTAAGATGTTTAAAACAAAGTTTGAAGTTTAAATTTTGTTCACTTGAAAATCATTTTATCAATAATTTTTTTCCTAAAATCATCAAATTATCAAACTAGTTGTTGAAAATTTTTTTAAGCTAGAATTTTTAAATAGTTTAGTTGAGACAACAATGATGGACATTGGAAGAATTAAAATTTTGAGTCAACGTTTCAAACTCTTAATCTAACCATTTTTTTGTGGACAACTAGATCTTCTCGTGATGGCTGAAATTTTTGACAGTAGCTAGGGTACTCCCATTATATTTAAATTTTTTTTCCAATTTATATTAAAAGTCATTTGTTGCATTTTGATAAAATCTGACTAAATGGCCGGCAAGAATATGTGCGTTGAAGACAAAATTGGATGGCTTAATTGCATTTGGATCTACCGTATGAACTAGAGTACATTCAAATCGACATGAGTTTTGGCAAACAATGTTGCTAATACCTGAATATATGATTGATGATTTACTGGTGTTGAAATTTCTCATCGTGTTGATAGTTCAGAATCTTCATTTGAATTCATCGATCGTTTAAACTCCAAAGAGAGTTGTGTTGATTGTGTTATGAAACAAAAACTTTGTTGTAATTGTCTTATCGATCGCATTGATTGAAGAATTTTGTTCGCTTTGAATGCAAACTGTTTGGCAGTGTTTGAAAAACATTAAGGATTTGACGATTAGTATTATATTCTTTTGAAACCTTGACACTATTTGCAAAGTGATTCGAGCTTTGCAAAAGTGCTTGCAACGCTTTTGAAACTTGAAACTGTTTGTGAAGTGGTTTGGATTCTACAAAAGTGATTGCAACGCTTCTTCAAGTCGAAGAGATTGAAAAGTGAGTAAGTAAACAACAAAAATTCATATGACAAGTTTTGTTGTTTACTCGTTCAATCCTCCATTTTTTTGACTTCTGCAACAATGCAACTTTGATTATTTTATCTTTGACATGTATCTTATATAGTGGCTCAAGCAATGTGCATAAGAAGTATTTAGATCCTTGACTTGACGGAGCGAAATTTCAATTGCGAGCTTTACAAAAATCCTTGCAGCACTCTTAGAAGTCAAAGAAATTGAGGAGCAAACGAGTAAACAGAAAAAAAATTAAGCTACAATTTTTGTTGTTTACTACTTCACTCCTCACACTCTATGAATTTGTGCAACAATTTTGATCACATTACTTTGTTTTACGCATGTATCTTGTAGTCAACTTCCTTTGAGGTGGTTAGTCCTTGAATTTACTTCATAATGATTGATTTCACGGTCCATTGAATAGATTTTTTTAATCTTAGTGATCTCGATGGAAAGTTTTGAAGCTTGCAATTGCACAAACTCCAAAAGTTTTGAAGCTAGTCAGAGTCATCATGTTTTTTTAAAACTTGGATTTTATAATTTTGCATCTTCATATTGTTGCATGTACGTTTTTTATTGTGACGTCTCAGTCAATTTTTGATTTATTCATGCACATTCAAACTATTTGTACTTACAAGTCTTTTTTGCTAACGCTGCTTAATGAAGCAAAAATCTATCGACTTTGAATCTGCACATCATGTTCATTCGACTAAATTTCTAGCTGCAATGAAGTAGAGTCAAATTGCTCTTGCTAGATAAGTGCTTGGGATTTTGTCTAGCTTTGCAATTCAAAGTTTGCCTTGGGTGTTAGTCATCATATACATTTGCTAACAATAAGTCATGATAGCAATACGATCAAATGCAATTACCAACTACATTACTTTTTGGTAAGAATGCATTGGAATGTCAAAGGCATGCAATATCGTTTTAGTTGCCACAAGATCAAACTTGATCATTGTCAATTCAAAAATTTATAAATATATCATGATATCTCTGAATTGATTGTAAATAAGTTGTATTTTTTCAATAATACAACTTACATGTATAATAGTAAATGCATGTATTTGATAACATTTTTCTTTAAAAATATTTAATATGTTGTTAAATAAATAATTTGACAAAACTAATCTGATTAAAATAAATGTGTAATTATGTATTATAAGTCATAACTCAAATTTATTTCAAGTAAAATCAACCATTTCATGAGTTTCATATAATAATTTTTATTTTTAATAAATAAAACAACAGCTTTCAATCAACTAACATGAAATTTCTATAAAATGCATATATCATAAAGATACAATTTCAAAGCGATCAACTTTTACATATATTTGTTTAATTTTATATAATATATTATCATAAAATTGTTAACCAAAAAACTTAATAGATGAATTTTCATATGTTGATGTTTATTTTTTATTATAATTTATAATCTACTCTAAGTAAACTTAACGCTGATTTTAGGACTTATTTTCATCGTTAAAATTCATTCATATCTAAAAAAAAAACTCAAGACCTTTGACTTTCAATTTCAACTTTTAACCGCCTATAGGGCATTAATAATATCAATTTTCTGTGCAACGATAAATCTGTCGTTCACTTCAATATAGATTTTAGACCATCAATATTGAAAGTCAATGACACTTTCACAACTTAAAGGATCTTTCATTTTTTAACTACAGTTTTACTTTCATGTTTTTTGTTGAAATTGAAACTTTAGATCAGTAATCTTCAAAAATTGCAATTAAAGAAAACCTCTGGCAAAAGTTATCAAGAACAGTCAAATCAATTTCTCATAGAATGAAGTATTCCGACATATAAATATTTAGTGGCACTCTGTTGCCGCTAATTTACATTCGATCACGGTGGTATTCACCCTTGATATATACACTACATTTTCATACTATGGAAAATGATAATGGACATTTCAATCCGCGATTGTGGTACCAATGTATAGATAATAAATTGCTAATCAATTTGTATTGGTGTTTAATTATGTGTGTTCGGATGTATATCACAGTCGTAGGGCAATCGGCTGCAGTCGAATAGATCATCAGTTATATCCTGGTTGCCTAAGTAATGTGAATAAATTACGCTACTATATTCTCACGTGCCTGTGCCGTGATGTGGTATCTGGCGGGTGAAAGTTACTAAATTCTTTGATCCTTTTTTCGTAGAATCAAATCGATTCTTTGTAATACAACTGTGAAGAGTTCAGCCTTGCACAACACAATAGACTGACGCACGATAATAGTGTCAACTTGATATGGAACTTGTATGTGATTCAAACGAGGAACTCACATAGAACTACACTTCGGAATCTTATTTCTTCAGGATTCAGAGGAGGGGACACAATGAATCTCACTCTTCAAAAAAATGCAATTTTTATCATAAAACTGGTATAGTTTATTTGGAATTACCCTCATTCTTTCTTGTAGAGATGATACGAATGTGAGACTAAAGCAGGAACCAGTCATCTTCAACGAGAATATACGCGAGCTGCGAAGTACCCACCATCAACAATTTAGAATAGTCCCAACAAATAGAATACAAGTAGCTGGATAAAAGACCAAGTACAGTACCAGTAACCCAGGTTAGTTGCCAGGAGTTTCTTACCAGCAAAGGGTAGACAACGATGATGGACCTCTACGAAGAGGTGGTCTTCACTGCTGCAAATGACCGACCATTACTACGCGAAGAAGAGTCGGCCGCCTCGCCTACTGAGCATCCCACCAACGCCGCTGGTAGGATGACACCCGTTGGTCCAACGGGTGTCTCAGCGGCACCCACAGCTCACGGAGTTCATCCACCACAGTTCGCTCAGTCCACCATGTTAATCCTTGACTCATGATTACAGTCTGCTGAGGTGGCTTCAGACCCCGCCCTATTTCCACGCTTCTGTAAGTCTCTTTTACCTCTAGCTTTTTACCTGCCGGTCCAGTGCGCCGCGAAATTAAGTTGAAAAGGGTTAAATTAAAACATACGATCCGACGTGTGATTCAGTCCGATCATGTAGAAGGTTTTGGACCAATTGGAGGAGTTGCTCCGAAGCACTTGGCATCGAGAATAGTAACATGTCCAGAACAAGTGCCACGGTGGCCAAAAGGGGTCTTCAGGAAGGCGACTTCACCGAAGTGCGGCAACTGCGACGTGGCATTCGCTGATACGATTGTGAAGATTTACGAGCATCCGAAGTTGGTCAGAATCAGAGCCTCGAACACGAATCGATGAAAGTCAAGGCTTCGAAGCCATGATGCTGCGAGGCAGCAGTTTCTGAGAGCTACCTTCCGCAGACATCGCGTTGCAAGATAGTCCACTGCATTCAATGGTTCGCCGAGGTGCATGTGGTGCAAATTTGAATTCTGCGGAGTCCAATGCACGAAGAAAAAGAATGAACGATGCTGGAACGTCGTAGAAATGTCCGGATTTGAGCTGGGAACCTCATGGCATTCTGAACTCTGGACGTAGGCACAATGGGCTCCTTGGCGCAACTTCGTCTGATTGATGGACGGATTTGTGGCCCGACTCTGCAGGAGAGACGATTATTTGGTCTCAGGCATACGCACAGTGCGGTGACGGGTGGAATCAACAGGTGCACTGACTCGACTGGTCGTGCTTTGAGCTTGAGGTGCGAAAATCGAAAGAGAGGCGGGTTTCTGAAGCCCCTTTCGAGACCGTCGAGAAATCTGTGGTTTGATCCTCTGACGCGAGACGGCAAGTGCCCAACGACCAGAGGCGGAGCTGTAGAGGACGGAGCAAAGGCAGCTCCTCTATCGGCTGGAGTTACAGAGCAGTCAGAAAATGAGAAGGAAGAGGAATTGTCGACCGCGACCTTGCTGTGGCGTGCCGCAAAGCTTCCTATTTACTCCGTGTGCATTATTCCTTTGACGGTAAATTACTGGAAGCATTGTATCTTGAATGTACCCTCGAACAAATTTCACAGAGAACTCTTTTCATTTCCGGGAGTCTTGTTTGTTCGTCAATTTCTAGCATATCAGCAAACGATTTACTCACTACGTTCGGTCACGATTTTTTTGGAAAAATGCCTTGCTACTTTGGAATTACGTTTGCCTCACGCAAATAATTGAGACAGAAAAATAGTAAAAAAAAATATTGATCATCTTCTGCTGTTACAGTAGACTCAGAGAGGGGCAATAGACCCAGCTGAACAGCCATTGTCATAGTACAAACAGGTGTTATATTCAGCTAGGAGATAACCATCATCAATCTTAAATAACGTAGAAATTTTAACGAGTTGTATCAGGTCGGAGCAGCAGCTGCATACTGGCAGACTGGAGTCTTTAATGGATCTCGTTACTGGCTGATGTTGTGGTCCTCTGTCTTGGTCATCACTTGGCTGAACTTAAGGTACACGAATGTTTGTAGTGTCTTCTTTGACACTACGAGATCTGAAATTTTGCCAAGATGAGAAGTTATTTTTCATATCCTATCTTTAATCTTATCTTTCGCAATCCTATGTTCCTGAGGAATTGTATCTCGTGGCAGCAATGATGCTTATGATGCTGAGACAGGGGTTGACAAATACAAGAAGGAGTCTGTCGTGAATATTACTGGAAGGTGAGTCTGGTGTGGTTAGCAAATGTTGAATTGATTCATTGTTGTCTTAGCTGGGGTTAATGCCTGCTTTGCGTTACAAGTATAATCTTTCTTTTGCTTGATTAATTGCAGTCTATGTGCAGCCAGAAAGGAGTACTTTGGGCAGCTTTTGGATGCCTATTTTGTGGCCTTGCCGGATTAATTACTGGCGCTAGTCAAGCTGGTGACATGCGCGTGGCGTTTCTACTTGTGCTAGCAATTGCTTGTGGATATGTATATCAGGTAGAAACAACCAGCTCATTTTAAGTCTCCACTCTACTTTCATCATCTCACAGTTATGTTGCAGGGAACTCATGGAATCATCATAGGTATTCTATGTTGATGTAGTGACATGGTTTATAAAAAAACTTACAAACTTCGGTTGCTTTGTAAATTCTTACAGTTCAGTGGTTCTTAGTATATTACTCTCATGTCATTTCTCCTTTTTCCCATTTCAGTGTCCACCATTCAGACTCAGCTATAAAGGCTTAGGAGAGCCTCTTTGCTTCTTCGCTTTTGGACCTCTTGCCACAACAGCGTTCTATCTGAGTCAAGCTCAGGCAAGGTAATAGAAGTCCTTACCTTATAGTCTAGACTAAGAAACTTCTTTTTTCTGCAGTACAAGGGCTAGAATGCTGATGGGATGTGATTTCCAGTGCTGCAGCCGTGCTTCCTGTTACTGTTGCAACAATTGGAGCTTCTGTCCTTGTTGGCATCACAACATCTCTCATACTGTTCTGCAGTCACTTCCATCAGGTAAGTTCCTGGAATCATGTATCTGACTATTTATGTCAAAATACACCTGGCATCACCTGTACAATTTCACCAATTGAATGAATGTATTCAATTATGTGATATTCTTGAGCTCATATGTGACCTACCTGTTATGTAGATTGAGGGCGATACTGCTGCAGGAAAATTGTCTCCATTGGTAAGAAATTTGCTATATCTCCAAATCTGCCGGATGCCAATCTGCTTACATAGTTGTCTATTGTGTTTGCATTTAGATTCCTAAGATTGGACATTTATCGTCAGTTAGAATTGGATATAGATACTGTGATGACGACTGAAGTAAAAGGTTTTTCTCTCCAGGTCAGACTTGGGACCGAATCAGGAGCCAAAGTGGTACAAGGTGCTGTACTTGGGCTTTACACAATTGTAGCGGCCCTTTCTTTATCTCGCTCCTTACCTCTCACATGTCCTGTAAGTAATTTTCGCCACTCCTCTTAATGGTATATTAGGATCGAGGCATAGCAAGCATATTCTTTCAATAAACGTCAACTGGTTTAAACTGCCTCCTCCATGTTATTATGACCAGCTTCAACGAATTTTTAATAGCTACGGTATCCACTGAGGATTTGACTAACGCTTTGCTCCTTCTGTGTAGTTCTTTGCTCTGCTTACCGTGCCAATTGGAAAGCTGGTCGTCGAGTTCGTTCAAAAGAATCATACCGTAAGTCTTTCTGCTATGAGTTATGTCTGTATGGAGATCAAAGGAAACTCGCACTTTTGCATCACATGTTTCTCTTCGTTTTCCAGATTGAGAACCTTCTATTGCACGTTACTAGCTCACTATGTAGCCAATGACCAAGTTTTGTGAGTATCAGTTTATTTACAAGACATATATGTCGAAACGAAAAGCCTGTTTAGTTCGTTCGTTAATATCCTATGAAACGAAGAGATTGAAAAATCCTGACCACCGTTTTTTCAATTTTCAGAATAAACAAGTGATTTTTATGGCGAAGTATTTCGCTGTGAGGCTCCATGTGGCTTTTGGATTGGCCATGACACTGGGCTTTTCCCTAGCTTCCAAGTTGCCGTTGCCTGCATAAAAGGTCCGCCAAAAAACAGCTATTTTTGATTTTCTGTCATCTTTGTTTTCACCAAGGTGTATGAACTTATTGGGTTTGCTATTGGAGTTTCAGGTTGTATGTGCTGTACATTTGAAAGAGAGTATGAAAGATTCTCCTGTCCTGAACTTGAAGACTCCCGTCATCACTCTCAGTTTGGTGAACACGTGAATCTGATGGTCACCTGACTAGGCGCATCAGCGTTTTCTGTCATCAACCGTAGGAAATAACTTCCAAGAAGTCGAAGTAGCGATGGGTATCTCTAGTGTAAGTCCCGTATCCTATACCCTTTAAGCCGTTTAAGTTAGTCCAGGATTTTGGAAACAGGAGAATAATGAGAAGCAGCGGACAATGTGTAACCTATATACAATGTAGAATTTATACAATCCATATTACATTCTTGAGTATCCGCAGTGCGTATATAATTTAGAGATCGACAGATTCTATGCATTGAAGGTGCAGATTTTGTACTGCTGTTAAACCAAGGTGCTGTGTAGTCCCATCATCATCATCAGATGGGAACATACAACTATAAAATCATAGCTGCTCAATCAAAATGTATCGTTTAGCATATTTAGTTTCTGAATTACGTTGGTGGATGTACATGGTCTCTATTTCCTTATCGAATAAGTGATTGTCGACTATCAACTTTTAATAACAAGGAAGTAGATTCCTCAGTCAATTATATGAAGTTGTCTGACCGGTTGGCATAGGCCAATCTCACTCTCACGGAAACACTAGAAGACCGCGAAATGATTACTAGCAGCGTGAGAGGTCATGTAAGATGGGCACGATTTTTATTAACCAACAGTGATGCATTTGAATATACAAGAGACAGTTCAGCTACACCCTCTCGCTCATTTCAGTACTTTAAAATAATGGTGATTAATGGTGATTTTCCCAATCCTTCTGAATCGCTTACTCGTTTGAAATTAACAAGCTAGACTAAACATACGCTGCACATTGCGATGTTCCTGTTTCACAAGTAAGCCGTATACATACAGTTTCGTCTCTCAATCTGCTTGAAGGATATGGTGTAAGGTCCACACACACGTAGACAAAACGGAAATGATCGTTTGCCAGATTTGTGTCAATTTATCTTGTACAGTTATTTTGACAGTTCTCCCATCTGCCTTCTACATGAACCTCTGCACTCCTACTAACTTTAACTAGGGTTCTAGAATTCAATAACTCGTATAAATCGGAATTCCAATGAAATTGACAACAATCGCAGAAAACAGATAAACTGATTCACTTTGATTAGTCGGTGGACGGGTACTATTCATGCATAGTCGAAGAGACCTGCACAATACTCTCTTGTGATCGGTCCTGACGTTCTTTCTCATAGAGAGACAGAAATGCATCCGCACAGTTCCTGCACGAGAAGACCGTAAGCAGACAATTTTATGAGCAAAGGATGCCGACGAGGAACCTGTTTGGACAAGCAGAGGAAGGGCAGGCAAAGTATGTGGACATCAAGGCGAATGCGTGACGGCAACTGTGCATAGATATTCTCTTGTTGGGCTACTCAAAATACAATTCTATGGCCGGCGATCGAGGGGTGTGTATTTTGGCGAACACGAGAAGCTTATGAACATATCGATGGACTCCTCTTCTAGCAGTAGGGTAAGGTCAATTCTAGGATAATTCTTTTGCAGGTTAACTTTGCTCTTTTTTTACATGCGCATCAAATGAGAAGAAATTGTTGGTATTTTTCGGTATATTCATCAAAACAACAACCATAGTAATGATAAAGGAATATTAATAATATTTCTTACCATGAATTGAAACGAGTATTTGTTCAAACAAATAACACAAATCACAATCTCCACATTTTGATGGAGCAAGATGATAAGTATGTAAAATGGAATAAGTGTACATAATGTGGATATTATGATTATTTGCTTTGGAAAAATCAAAGGCAAACTGAACATTAGGGATGTACAATAAAATGTTGAGAATTGATGCTTCCACTTTCAACTGATAGGACTAAAATTGTATTCAATTGCAGACTATGAGGATTTCTATATATAATACCAAATTTCGATTTTGAAACAATTAGATGAAATTGACAATTGTATTTTTTTGTTTAAGTTTTTGGAATAGTGATTTCATTGTAAAATACTGTATGCATCATTGAAGTTAATAAATTATTAAAAATCAAATATTTTGGTAGAAGATCCAAAATCACATTGATCTATTTGATTATATAAAGTAATGGCTGATATTAATTTTTTTTGAAAAAAAGATAAACAATGAATTGAAAATAATTCATCTCTTAAACTCATTATATGATTTGTATTTGTCAATATCACATATATGACTTCATTGCAAAAGACAAATCATCACAAAAATGTAGTGCTTTGTTGACACTTGACTTACAACAAAAGATGACAACGTCATTTTTTTACATAAAAATAACATGAGAATGCTAAATTTTTTGTTGTAGATTAAATTTTTTTAATCTATGTGCAAAAAGTCTTATTTTACTTTATTTTTTATTTCTTTTTTTTGTTTATTAAGATAGGAAGACACAAAAATCATTCATTTCTATCACAAAATAATATGAAAATTTCTATGTATAAAATATAATTCAAATTTGAACTAATTTTTAATTTTATTTATAACATGGAACATGAAAACTCATGTGTACAAGATCTAGAATAAATCTTGCTTTGTCTTTGCAATCACATCACACATCATCACACAATTGAAGTAAATTTCACTAAGATTATTTTTTATAAAATCAAATTAACTCTAAATTACATTTACGTTGTTTTTTCATCTTTATATCAAATCATGAAAATTAATTTTGCTTAAAATCAATTTATTTTACTCATAATATAAAACTAGCACAAAACTCATGTAATTTTTTTAAATTAAAAAATCGGATAGCTAAATGGTTTTCAAAATTGCTACAATCAACTTATAACTTTAGTTCAGAAAAAAAGTTTGCAAAGGGTAACTCACACAAGACTTAAAATAGCATTCAAAGCTTGAAATAATATCATTCGAGAAAATTAGAAGTATTTTTGATACTAGAAGAGTAAAGACAACTAGTGTTAACAAGAATAAATTTTAATGTATAGATACTCCCTATTTATACTTATGACGTTATTGGAAGACTCTAAAGTTGAAAAGTTGGCACTTCGTGCAAAGATGGAAAATCTCAGCACCGCCTCCGCACCATCACTCTTACTATCATCTCCGTGACATCATAACTCTTTCAAACAACAAGTTTTCAAGAGTCATTTGATTTATCTTATAAAAAACATTTAAAAATCTATTAGAAAAAATCCATGTGATATACACATGATTATAGACTAATTCAATGTTGATGTTGGTACAAACGTGTTTGATTCAAATATCTTGGACATTTAATTTTGTTAGATATCAAAGATAAATCTTTTACATAATTTTAAAAGCGTTATATATATTCATCCGTTTAATCTTCTAAAAATTACGGACACATTTAAAACGTCTTAATAACATTTGAAATAAAGACAGTTTTTATCCATTCCATACTCATGTGAAATATGAAGTACAGTGATGATGCATTTTATTATATAGAGTAATGTATAATATAATACATCATTAATCATCATTGATCGTTGTTCGCTCAAAAGAGAATGAAATCATTAATCTACTTGGATGACCATTAAAGGGTAGATTACATAGTAAGTTCAATTGTTTAACCAACTCGAGTTCGTTAAGGAGATAGGAGACTTTGTCTTCAAACATTTTATTCTCCTCTAGCGGCTACTTGTTTAGCGCATTCTGTCCCATCCACTCTGCCGCCATACGCGCCACCATAATGACCAACTCATCCTAGTATGGCTCCTTTATGTCTCCTTCATCATTGCTGGATCTTGATCCTTGCATACAGATGCGATATGATGCTCAAACGGTTGGCGTTTGAGACTCAATATCATCTTTCGGATCAAAGAGTTCTGCGGCATAGCAGCTTGCATCTCAACCTTGCCAGAGCTTGTGCGATTGTGGCAAGAGCAATGCGCTCTCTTTCCCACCTTGTGTTGCCGTTCAACGCGAGCTGATGAGCTTGATCCGGTATACACCTTGATCAAAATAGAAGCGAGATGGAGATATTCTGATAGACATTGATCATAAACATAATGAGGTTGATAATCCTAATATGGTGTCATGCTAGTCATGAACTACTTTTTGGTGATATAGAATTTCATGAATTCCACTTACAAACTTTCAAACAATTGGTCCTTTTCATTTGAAGTTTCATGACGACGAGTCAAAAGCTTGATTGTCTCATGACATTGATAGATAAATGACTCTTTATCAAACGCAAGCACTTATCATGGATATGCACAACATTCATTCAAACTCATGATATAAGGTATTACAATAGAAGAAGAGCGTGTGAACAAGCAAATAAATTCAATTTCATTGATAACAAAGTTGAGCTTGCATTTGTTTAATCTCGGCACCAGACTATTTAGTACGAAGATGCAAAAATACAAATACAAAAACCTCATAGATAATAATTATCGTTGATGAAATCCTCTGGATAATGTCGATACACTTGCAAATTATATCAAATAGGTCAATTGCAGAATTGACGTTGAACCTGAAGTTACTCTTGTTGTTCATGTCAACGTGGTTATCTGGAAGTTTATAATCAAAATCTATATCCCGCTCCTCATGCTTCTCTTCAATAAGATTTGGCATAGAAGTGATGGATAGTTAGATTGTTTTAATACAAACAAACATATAATTCATAGTTGACCAACATGAAGCTGAATGCAAAATCATTGAGTAAGACTTGCCAAACATGTACTTGCAAACTAAAGAAAATATCTTATTGGACAGGTCTTTGTTCTATATGCATTTTAAGACGATTGGGACCATTTTGAGTAATAATTTGAAGTTCAACAACTTGATCATATTTTTGCAAAAGTTGTTTAATGGATGAGTTTCACATTCATATGCATAATTGACATCATAATTGTCCATCAGTTGATTACCAAGAGCTCATATTGCATTGCATCTATTAGAAATAAGATCATTCTCGATATACTTTACAACAAATGCATCAATACAATCGAGCAATAGATTTGAATTGATCCATGTTCATATTGATTTGTTGTTGTGAATAAATATCTGAAAGCAATTTATTGCATCCGATAATGAAATGATCTAGTTGGAAGACATCTTTTTGAAAAAATGCTGTCATGATGAATGATTGAACATATAAAAGTTTGTAACAATTTGATGCATGGCAGAATCTAAAGCAAAAAATTCATCTCATTTGAATTCAAAAAATATCTTCACATTCATACAATGAACGATAGATTTACTTTTTTTCAAAGTGAATCTTGACTATGGCATGCTTTGAGCAATAATATATCTGATTATTTGCTCAAATTGCTCTTGAGATTGAAAATCCATTGATGATAAAGGTGTAGAAATGTTGGTGTTTGTAGATATCATCTTCAATGAGACGAGTGGAGCAAGTATTCTATAGTACGAGAATTAACAAAGCGCGTATAGTTATCAGAATTGGCAAGATTAGTTTTCATATTTGACAAAGTTGTAGAGATGGAAAACAAATCTATAGTTTAAGTTAAAGTTTTATTGAAACTTCAATTCATTAGATTGAATCTTGTATCTAGTTTTCAAGGTCAAACATGCAAAGCTATGCTCGTCCTTTGTCATCCAATACTTGCAAAAATTATCCTAAAAGACTATACTAGCATGTTTAGATGACTCGATGACAACGGAGAGCTTGAAGCAAGGTCATACTTAGAAACATCTCTTGAAGTGCTGACTTCTGACTTGTTAGCAATGAACATATTGTGTCGTGAGTATCAAAATTCAATTAGTGTTTGAAAGTACTTCAATGCCATAAGATTCAAGAAGTTGAAGATATGTTCAACATGATGACACTCTTACTTCTTCTGCATGTGTAATAGATACAAAGCAGAATATTCATTGGTCATGGATTTTTGCTTGCTTGCCATAAATAGCCGTATCTAAATGACACATCATATTTGGCTAGAAGATCATCCCTTCTGCACAGATTGTTGAAATTTAAGTATATAAAAATATCTTCTAGATTGTTGTACTTTGTTGTTTCACCTCGACGGTAGTAATTATGTACCATTACTACATGAATTTGAACCTCATGACAATAGCTCGATGAATTAAAAATTTGCCTCATGCAATGTGAAACACAAAAGTTTTCTAGTATCATAGTTGAATTATGAGAGTGTTGAAACCTGTTGATGATTCAAACATCACATTTACATGATATAAACGTGTTAGGTTGGATCCATTTGATATTATGTTGCTTTTGACTCTGTCAAGTTTCAAGTGTTTGTTAGTTTGTTACAATCGATAAAAAATTATCTCATAACAAATTTATAAGTCTTTTAATTACAAATGATGCAAAATTAAAATCATATTTAGCATCAGCGTCAACTTTTAGCAGTCTTTTTAAGTCACTCTAATAATATTTATATTTTTCAAGATATCAAACTCAAGAAACATTGTCACAAACACTTATAATCACAATAGATATTTGACATTTGCTACTACATATAAATTGTAAGATCAATTGTTGTATGTGTGAAAAAGTATTAGAAGTAGCCAAGTAATTGATCATGATTAGCTTAGCTATAACTAAATCTAGCTAGTCATCACTAAATTTAACTATAAATTTAGTGATGACTAAATTTAGCTATAATGCTTCTATTTGAAAAAATAATAAAGTAAGTTCTAGAAGATTTAGATGTGGATTTCTATTTTGTATCTTATAAAACTGTAGATTCTTAAGAAAAAGACTTTTGTTAATTGTAGTTAGGTTAGAGAAGTTAATTGTAGTTAGATTAGCTAAGATATGCACCTAATCTCTTCTTGTATAGAAGACAGAAGGAGACATTCACTACATACAGTTCAGAGTTGCAATTTGAGAATGAGCAGGAAGGAGTAGAGCTTGGCTATAGAGCCCGTATATCCACTTGTGCTTTAGTGAAGTTTCTACTCTTGTCCATGGTTTTAGCCTCTAGAAGGTGAACCACGTTATTTCAGTGTTGTGATTGTCGTGCGTGTTGATTGATCTTGATGGTTTGACCTTTCAAAAACCACCATGATTTATTTTTGTAAAACTAAGTTAGATAAAAATTACCATTTCATATTATGGTAACTTTTCAAGTTGTATAGATAAAAAGGTAGAGAAGAGATTCTTAAGCAAGTTTTGGAAGCTCATTGTGTGAGTACTTGTTTCATTTATGTTGAGTTTGAGTTTTGATGAATGTTTGCAATTGAATGATGAATAAAGAGTTTATGTGAAAAGGGGTTTGGGACAAAGATGTATTGGAGAATCCTACCTTCTAGGTTCATGATGAGCTATCCAAAAGACATATGAGGTAAACTTGAGTGAAAGTCAGCATGGAGATCACAATACTATGTTCATGAAAACACAAAAAACTTTATTGAAAAGAAAATCTTAATGTCATTAAGAATCTTAATGTCATTTTTGCAAGCACTCGTATATAATGATTGTTTACAAGCTTTATTTAGTTAGATCATAGTATATTAAGTTACTGAATAATCTTAGTAGACTTCTAATAAAGGATCCAAGTTGAGACTTAGATTGGACTCAGGATTAAATTTTGAAGAGAATTACATTTTTGGAAAAGTTTAAAAGTTATTGCAAAAGGTATGGTATAAATTATCATAACGTCATGTTTTTATTTTGCAATAGAAACAATTTACTCATAGGCTCAATCAGATAATGTTGAAAAGTATGAATTAGATGCTTGGTCAATCTGGTTTAACATACAAATTCTAGACTCTGATGCGCACTCATTGAAAAATCATCAAACTCATAAACATAGGCAAAGTGCAATTGAATTCTTAACATCATTTCAAACAAAAGAATGATTATAATTGTTTCAAAATATTTGATTGTACAATTTAGACTTTTCAAGCTAAGAAAATAGAATCAAGTTAATTTCTATTTCAAACTGTGTAACTTTTTTTGAATATTCTAGTGCCATTAAGGATAATAAATTATGCTATTCTCTAGATTGTATTTTTATTGTTATTATGAATGTTATGAATGTTTTTTTTAAAATTGAAATTATCGAAAGAGGAAAAAAAAAATTCAAGCTCCATGTATTGACAAGAATAAATGTATATCCACATATGTTGAAAAAAAGTTTCATCAATATAGATGTAATAATCAAACACAAGAAAAATGTTTAATACAAATGAAAAAAATATTTGAGAAACAAGAAGTGAGAAAATGATTTATCGTTGATGAGTCTCCAATCATTGCACGAAACAATAGATTTGAACCTAAATCTTTCTACTAGAGTATTGTTAAATTGAATTAGTAGAAATGTTGCAATGTATGAAACATGAAATAATTCATCCACTTTTAAAATCATAATATGAAGACTGAATAGTATGATGACTATGCATTAATCTTGGAAGAAAAATAACTTTCAAGATTAATTTGGCCTTCTTCATAAGGAAAAAGCCTTTGTTCCTATGAAGAAGTTCACAGTTTTGTTAATAAGCTTGAGGCAAATTTTGATACGGAGCATAAAATATATTTTTTGATTAATTAAGATTGAAAGAATTCGTAAAATTTCAATATTATCTATCTTTGATTTATAACAAATGGATATAAGAAATAAATTACAATCCAAAAAATGGAAAAAAATATTAATCAAAGCCAATTTGATGGAAAAGTATTTCACATAGAAATAAGGTGTGAATCTCAACAAAGTTTGACTCATTTGTAACATAAAATACTTCAATGTTATTGTATTTTTTTTATTAAATGAATGTATTGATATCAAATTGTGAAAATTAAATCTTAATGAAACAACCAGTTGATCTTGAATTTAAAAGTCAAGAAATATTAAATTTTATTTTAATTCTAAATCATTATATGATTTGAAGAAAAATACTAGATAATGGAATGCAAGATTTGATTTCCTCATAAAAAAATATTTTTTCACAGAATCTATATGATCCATGTGTATTTTAAGAAAAATTTATAACAAAATTTTTATTCTGATTAAATTTGTATATTAAAGAGATGACATGATCATCTCGGCAAAAGATCAATTCAACATTGAAAAATGAATTTTGCAATCAAGATACAAGACTTGAATAAATTATATTAGTGATAAAATGTTCATAAATATTCGAAGGAAAAAAAGTATGATTAAATCAAGACAAAGATTTGGAAGGTGTGTTTGATAGATTTAAATCTATCAAATCTGAAGTTAGCTCAAATCTTGATAATTTAGAAGAGTTTAACCACAATTAATTAGTCTAGTTAGTGTCATACCATATAAGAAATGCTTATATAAACTCAGAGCAACACGATATTTTGTGTTTTTGAATTAAAAACTTGTGTTACTGAGCTTTTGTCTAATGTAAGTTGAGTTTGGAACTTCACAGAACAGTATGATAATTTTTGTGTGAGTAACAAATAAGATCATGATTGTTATTATACTAGTGATAGCATAGCAGTTTTTCAATGTACGAGTGACTTATGTTATCTAAATTATGAAATGTTTTGGATTCCTTTGTTATTGGCATTAGTCATTCGTTACATATCTGGTTTCATTGTTTAATTTTTATGGATGGAATACAGGTCCTTGTGTTATTGATCTAGGGTTTACTTGAACTTTTCTGGAACTTTCTTCTGTCTTTCAATCATTGGCAGATTGCGAGAAATGGGGAAGTAATGAGAGCTTTAGTATTGTCACGTATTCTTTGTAAAGAACTTCGAAGTGCGGATTTCTTTTTCCACCGAATTTTCGGACAATGCATGTCACTTTTGAAAATTGATCTAAAAGTGTCAGAAGATTAGGACACGCTCTGACGTTGCATACATCGGACCCACTACCATAAATCCACTATTTAATCGGATGGTACAACAGCTTCCCACGGACTTCCCGTGTGCATGTTTCAGTTCCTTCTGTCCAAATGGTTATAAATGGACTCGAAACGAAGACGCTATACAAGCAAGGCAGGCCTCTCAACACCACAGCAAGCACTGCAGCTACTGGTAAGGTATCCGCAACTTCTACCACTTCTCCTTCAAGAACAAAGCTCGAATGGTAGGACGTGAACACGAGAATAGAATGGTGGGATTACCCCACATCTGGGCTGTGCTGTCTGAGAGCTGATTTTGATCTGACTGCTTGTAAAGTGATCTGATAATATGCCACATTTTCTCCCGCACAGATGTTCAGTTCTGAACTTGGCTGGGTGTCCAAGCTCCATATTAACGACATTCTTGCGTTTCAGGTACATCTCTCGGCATGGCGTGCTCTACCCAGCCCGTCTTCGTTTCCAAAGCATCATGTAAATTACTCGGTGTGTAAACGCTCGTGCCATGATCATATTAATTGGAGACTTGCAGATCTAGAAGATTTTGAATCAGCTGCAGGGCCCACTTAGGAAAGTAACGACTAGTGCAAAATCGCATTCATGGTTTACTATCAAAAGATGAAGGTTATTTAGGCAGCCATATGTGTCTTTGGTTGTCCAAACGGACATAAGCTGAGTTGATGATCAAAATCATGGACTGCCAGGTTATTACAACATGACAGTCTTGATCTACATTGTACTGATGACTCTGAAGTTCTGAGGCTACCATCGAGGTCTCAGAGCTCTTATCCTTCACATTTAAACTTCGAATATCAGATCCATGCTAAGGGAAGATATTGATAGCTATCAGCCACGAGTGGGGACATTATAAGAAAGCATATGTATTTTTTATTTTTTTCTACTAGTCTTGTCACTAAGAACAATCCGATCCGGATATTTAGCTGTAATTCTAACTCGGCTGGGCTGGTAAGCAGTAGTCTAACGTAACCATTCTTTCTGATTCTTGACTGGCAGTTGCATCTCTCGAGATGGTGTTCTCTACCAAGGCGGTCTTCTTGCTGCTTGTCTTCAGCTCGGCCTTGTGCCAGGCTTCATCCAATGGAGATACCGTAACGGACAGGATTAAGCATGGGATTGAGGACGTAACCAACACTGCCGAAAACCTCAGGCTTGCAGCTGAAAGGATCGACCTTCCCAACGCTCCCCAGGAGGCCATTACCATTGCTCGGGGATTCGCTGAAATCATCGCTAAGCTTGGTCATGGCATCGAAAAGATGAACAGCGAGGCATCTGATGCGGTTTCAGACGCTGATGCCAAGCTTGTTGTCAAATGGCTCCGTCAATTCGTGAAAACTCACAAGGCACTGCTGAATGTGGTCATCCACAAGGAGGACCTCTCAACCATGATTCTCTCTTCAGAGACTGTCAGAATTTCACTTCTGAGTCTAGAGGTTGTTATGAACAGCTTCTCCCATGATCTGATTGCTCTTATTCCCACCCAGCGATCGGCTGCAGAGAAGCAATTTGCAGAACTCCAATCCACGCTAAATGACGCCTTGAACACCTACGGCCTGGGTTCCACAGAATCGGATGCTGCGCTCGCAGCAACCACGGAGAAGATTGTCGAAGGATTCAAAGTCGTCACGGATATGTCCAACAAACTCCGAATCGCTACCGAGAACATCAATGTCTTCAACGCCGCGCAGCAGGGGATCGTCATTGCCCAGGGGTTTACGACCATCATCGGCAAGATCTCTGAAGGCATCGTCAGGGTCGACCGCGTGACTTCCGGTCCACTTGCAGACATCGACGCGCAGCTCGTTGTCGACGTCCTCACCACATTCGTGCGGGTACACCAGAACCTGCTCAATGTCGTCATCGGGAAGCATGGGCTGATAGCCATGGTTCCGTTCTTCGAGCCCATCAGAGTGACCCTTGTGCAGCTGGAGATTGTGATCGACAGACTGGCGCTGGATTTGATAGCTCTAATTCCCACTCAGAAGCCGGCAGCAACGAGGCAGTTTCAGCTGCTCGACGATACGCTGCAGAAGGCCATCAACACTTACAGCGTCACCCTCACTTCGGCAGAATCGGACGCTGCGCTCGCAGCAACCACGGAGAAGATTGTCGAAGGATTCAAAGTCGTCACGGATATGTCCAACAAACTCCGAATCGCTACCGAGAACATCAATGTATTCAACGCCGCGCAGCAAGGGATCGTCATTGCCCAGGGGTTTACGACCATCATCGGCAAGATCTCTGAAGGCATCGTCAGGGTCGACCGCGTGACTTCCGGTCCACTTGCAGACATCGACGCGCAGCTCGTTGTCGACGTCCTCACCACATTCGTGCGGGTACACCAGAACCTGCTCAATGTAGTCATTGGCAAGCATGGACTGATTGCCATGGTTCCGTTCTTCGAGCCCATCAGAGTGACCCTTGTGCAGCTGGAGATTGTGATCGACAGACTGGCGCTGGATTTGATAGCTCTAATTCCCACTCAGAAGCCGGCAGCAACGAGGCAGTTTCAGCTGCTTGACGATACGCTGCAGAAGGCCATCAACACTTACAGCGTCACCCTCACTTTGGCAGAATCGGACGCTGCGCTCGCAGCAACCACGGAGAAAATTGTCGAAGGATTCAAAGTCGTCACGGATATGTCCAACAAACTCCGAATCGCTACCGAGAACATCAATGTATTCAACGCCGCGCAGCAAGGGATCGTCATTGCCCAGGGGTTTACGACCATCATCGGCAAGATCTCTGAAGGCATCGTCAGGGTCGACCGCGTGACTTCCGGTCCACTTGCAGACATCGACGCGCAGCTCGTTGTCGACGTCCTCACCACATTCGTGCGAGTACACCAGAACCTGCTTAATGTAGTCATTGGCAAGCATGGACTGATAGCCATGGTTCCGTTCTTCGAGCCCATCAGGGTGACCCTTGTGCAGCTGGAGATTGTGATCGACAGACTGGCGCTGGATTTGATTGCTCTAATTCCCACTCAGAAGCCGGCAGCAACGAGGCAGTTTCAACTGCTGGACGACACGCTGCAGAAGGCCATCAAAACCTACAGTGTGACCTTGGCATCAAAGTCTGCTACTCAGAAGGCTAATCCAATTATGCAGAAAATTCAGCAAGGGCTCGTGACCGTTACTGGAATTTCTGACAAAGTGATTGAAGAGATGGTTGGGAAGTACTAAGTATCATCCTCAATCTAGGCAGAAGCGTCGTGCTTCCTGATTTTCTGATCTGAGTACTGTATTTCCAGAATAGATATTTCTTATCGAAATGTTTGAGTCTTCTCTATTATTCGGGTTCGTGATCCAAGACAGGGGTGTCAGTTCTGCGAAATTTATATCTTATCGTTAGATAAGATGACGATAACTGGAAAGCGGCATCTTTAAGGCTCAGTCAGATTGTATTTACAGGCTAGATCCATATATATGCCTGTCCACAATTTGGTGACGGCGATAGAACTAACTTCCCCCACCCCTTAACCCTTCCGAAGCTTTACGGGAAGTTAAATGTGGTTCATAAATTTGCTGTCACTCTGGAAAACGTAGAATTATAATTGAAAGTTGTGCCATTGTGAGTGACTATATATTGAAATGTTGACTTGCTAATAAACTTCATGGGATAGGCTACGTACTGCGAGGTTTTATATGTAAATAACTTATCCTTTATCTTTGGAACAGCTGACTAGACTTACAAACGGGTCCCATCAGATGTCAGTCTGAGAATTGTAATTGCAGTACAGACAACGTTGAATGTTTGAGTCTCCATGATTGTGATTCGTGATCAAGTCATTGACTTTAGTGACTGCATGGTTTTCATGAAATTTCTTCCTTTTGTACACACGGCACTGAGCTGTGGTCCCCATCAAGCAGCATGAAACCAGTTCGGACCTTTCCTGCCCGCATCGGAAAGTCGGGTCCTTTGAAATATCGGCGCATTATTGTTTGAGTGGCCACGCAACAAATTATACATAAATTCCACCTTCATGTTAGATCGCCTGCCCGAGATCTTCTTTCTCGGCTCTCGTGGAATCCCACCAACCCAGATTAATATCATATGGACCCATATGTACCACTTTTGGTCTGCTGATGACGATCTGACAAGCTTCAATCGCGTAGGTCGATCGAGAATATTCCAAAACGTGGCATAAGCAAACGCAGAAGCCTTGTGAGAACTGGTTAAGGAGATTCGATGAAGAAGGTAGTGAAGATCGGAAGACAAACAAATAATTTCAATTGTATTGAGGAGGATGAAATTCTCTGGCCAAGGATATCAGCTACCCGGGACCTTAGCGATCTCAGAAGCCCAATACTGTGTTCACCCTCGTAGCTTTCTGATCAGCCTCCACGGTCAATCTGCACTAGTAGACTCTGCATGTCGTTTTCGGGACCAATAGATTCAGTCAAACTATTCCTCCGCTCGGATTAGTATATTTCGTTCTGGTCCTAAGGCAAAGCAGAGTCGGACATGATCGATCCTGGATTTGTCATATGCAGGGAATGTCTTCTATATGTCCGATGGATTCGAGAAAGAACAGATTTTGTGGGCCCGTGGTTTGTTCTTATCTCTCGCTCTCTTCCTTCCTTCCAGGTTTGCATTGCTTGGTGCTGTTTCCTTTCGCTTGCATGCTGCTAAGAGAGGGCATTGACAAGAACTGATGTGAAGTCTCGCAACACTGAGCAGAAAATGGACTTTACTCTTGACATCCGCATGATCTAGTTTCCCCACCATTACTGCTCTCTCGGCCTGACGGACTACATTCCCAAGCCCTGTACTCTCAAAATCGGTTTACGCCCCATGGCTCATGGCGGCCAGCCACGCATAGCACTCAAGGCTTTATCTGAGAGGGACATCGAGTTTCCAGATCTCAATGCTGATTTCTGAAAGCGAACAACTGCTCATATAGGCGCGCTCCACGGCTACATGAGAACTTACGTGTATTTACTGCGCTTATCCTCAGCTTTGGTCACACCTTAGGACCGCGGATGGCATCGACGGGCTACAATTGTATGAAATAGACGCCACGAGTGGAGTGTATTCGGCTGCCCTCCCGACAGATCCACACTGGATAGAAAATACCAGGATAAAGGACACACAGACTGCGGACATCTGCAAGGAATCAAATGAAGACGAAAGCATAGTGTGAATTCCAGAGTAGTTACGACCCGACTGCCTTGATTGAAACTCGTTTGTGTATTCACTCTCATGAAGTTCAGAAACATTCGAAATACATCAAAAAACCCATCAAAGAAATCAAAGAGGTAAAACTCTGTAGTGAACTAGCTGCAGTATAATCGATGTCTGATGTCTTTTGACTACAGCTTGGGTGTTCATGAGAATGATAACAATCCTACAATAATATGTGAGTTCTAACCATGAATATTGAGCAATTGAAGAACTGAAGAAAGCCCCTATGTATTACATCTTAAGCTGATAGTCTTATCTCCGTGCTCCTTATATAAGATTTCGTGGAAGCTGTAAAGAAATTTTAATGTATCAAGCTAGGTTTGACTCACTCCAAACAAACTAGGCTCTAAATTTGATAGTATGAACGAGTAAAAAATGAATCCAAATTAAAAACTCTCTACCTAGTGATTAATTTACATACAGTTAATTTTCAGTACTTTTTTCCATATGCTATACTGAAGAAATATAGGTCAAAATTGCATTCTAGATACCAACAACCTAGCATAGGTTCTGCGTGGATGAAGAGTATGGATTGAAACCGCGAATGTTAAGCTAAGAGCCGAAAAATCAATAGTTGTACATGTGGTGGAACAGTGAGTTTACGGTGAAACAGCTGGGGGAGATATATACCAGAGTTTAAATTTCTGATATTCCATGTTTTACGGTGATCAAAGAGAACACGTATAATTGAAACAAATCACAAGATTTATTGATAGAAAATATCATGATATGGTACCTCTCGTTTATTCATGATTCTCTTGTGAAATCATGAATTCTTTTCCAGAGAGAAAACTGAATAGGAAAATTCATCAAAATACCCACGTGATTCCAAGAGTATTTTCATCCAGATTCCATTTCTAATGCTCCACAAAAGTATTTTCGTCTTTACGGAACTCTCCCCTTTAGCTACTGCTTTCTGCTTCTTTGCTTTTTGACTACATCTAGCAATCATTCGAATTGACTGATGGGGTACAAGTTCAGCTGAACCTATGAGGCATGGTGGTTACCAAAAAGGTTGAGAAAGCTAAAAAAAACAGACAATTGCAGTCAAGAGGATGGAAAGGGTAGTACACGTTTAGATAGGCCTTCTCCGGCCTACTATGTTTTAAGTTCTTTTGAATGATCAGGTGCACCTACAACTTTATTCATTCTAGTTTGGCTCCAAATTGAACAGCCCAGTATGCACCACACTCGCGCGAGGTCATTTTGCGCTGTTTGCATGAATCTACTATATCATACACAACTTCCAACTCATTATTCTTCCCATTTTATGATGAAAATAGAATACAAAGAAGTTTGAATCAAAATATATTTCAAAGAAAATTTTTTGATTTAGGAAATAATCGTGCATATTTGTTTTTTATTAAAAAAATATGCACATGAGGAAATCAATTAATATAAAAAGGAACATGATGTTGTATAATTTAAAGTGTGCTGGTTTATGTAGGGGCTACTAGCACTTTCTCTTGAGAAACTCTTGTTTTTTAGTTTATTTTTTTATCAAAGATCTGATACTTAAGTCGTTTATCACCTCTATTGTTATCTTTTGTGGCAAACATATAAACCTGAAGAAAGAAGCAAGTTTTTTGGTCATTATTGCATCAAATATGTATTTATATATGATATATAATTCGTTACAAGGATTAATTTTTTTGATTATGTACTTCTAACCATCTTATCACTTTGAGCTTGTGTGAGCTCTTTTATATAGTGTCAAACTAATCAGCCTAGCTAACAGGAATTAAACTAACCTTAGTTAATTCCTAAGATTAATTATAAGAAAAATTTAATGGAAATTAAAAAGTGCAACACACGAACAAATTTATCACACGTTAAATATACCATTTACAAAAATTGTAAATTCATTGACTTCTTGAATATAAATTTATTTGGCTTTCAGATGCACAATACAATTTGATATACATGAAGCATTCTTGTGGATACTTGTATATGTAGCCAATTGAGTAGATAATTCAATTGATACTTTGTCAATAGCTTGCATAAAAAGAAATAGCTAATTTTAGATAACATAGTTTTGGTTCAAAAGGATCAAGGTACTATAACATATATGACGATTTTGAATTTTACAGAGGACATAATTTTAGAGAGTACATAATTGCTAGATTTCACAAGATTATAGAGAAACCAAGTGTTCAAATCTAAAGGTATGAAAGAGTTGAAGTACCTCTTGTTCTTCTTTTCCTTCAATTGTATAGATACATGGTAACCTACTTAGACATATTAAGTACTCTGATCAGGTAGGGTTCTACCTTCAACCCAAACCCGACCCGAAATACCGGGTCGGATTCGGATTGATTCAGGTCGAATCCGAATCTACCCCGCGGGGGATCCATGATTGTGAGGGGACAGCGAGGGAGAATCGGAAGAATGGAGCTGCAAGTCTTTTCTTGACTAAGAGGCGTTGCGAGAACTTTTTGACGAGGCAGGACGAGCAGTATAGGTAGCGCAGCACGGCCTAGCTAGACGCAAAAGCGAGCGAGCAAGAGAGAGAGAGAGTACCTGCATCGCATCCAGCGAGGTGCGCAGAAGGTGGGACAAGGAGGAGGAGGTGTGACAAACACAAGGGGAGGAGTAGAGTTTTGCGAGACAAAGTACAAGCCGATGCAGACTACGACGGACCAGCTGAGCTTGCAGCTGAGCTCTTATCAGTGGTTGCTTTACTTATGTCAACATAATCACTTCGGATATCTCCCGCTGTTTTCATCACCAACCTTCGATGATTTTCAAAACGCTCTGTTACCGGCACTTGAAAAAGCTTTGCGAGGATGATTTCAAGGTCTCGTCGCTTCGATGAATCACTCCATTGCAGCCTCTAACCTCTCTATTTTTTTTTACAAGAAAGTCTATCCCGGTGTTCTCGGATAAGAAAACATCGTCTTGTTCCAACAACTCCGCCCGTTCAGCTTAAATATTGGATTTCGGGTCGATTATAGCCTCTATCCGAACCCGGACCCAATCTGACCCGAACTCGATCGGAGCCCTAGACATATTCAAGATAGACAACGCATATTATTCCATAGTATATGCAGTCGTATTGAAGTTCATGTGTCAAATGAGCACTTACAACCTCATTGTAAGTGATAATCTTCGTATCACGATGGAGAAGTATACGTGATAACATATGATACGATGCCGGTAGGGAGCTGAGGAGATGAGCCTTCATCTCATCTGAAATCTACTTGATTTTGAAGATCTATCACAAGATCATCAAAGGCATCGATGTGATATTGGATCTTTGTCCGAGAATCTTTCATCTTGAAATTCATCAGCTTCAAGTGAGTGTTTAACCTGTTTGACAATTTCTTGTAATGGAATTTTCATTTTAGAGCCTCAAACAGTACAGTTACCTCGTCATACTCCTCCATCTTCTTCAAAATTGCAAGTTGAAGATATCCCAAAACAATGTACACTATTTGTTTCTGCATATACTTCCACTTGATATCGTTGAGAATGTCAAGTTTTTTCCTCAACAGCATGCCAAGGTCCATGGCCTTCA